TAGATTCAGACGTGAAGCTTGAAAGCTTTACATGCTTTCTTCAGAATCAACAGACTGGGCTACAAGGCTTTCTTCCTCAGCACAAGGCGAAATAAACGTACCTCCAATTGAATCCAGTCATTAATCCTGTCTACAAAAATCACAGCAGAAACTTGCAGCTGGTGTAAAGTCATCAAAACCATTTTCATTATGCTGCCATCTATCTGTTTGTATTGCAGGGTGGATAAAGGTAAATTAAAATAATTATTTTAAACCAAATGCCGTATGTTAATTTTTTTTTTGTTAGACATTTGTTTAGATCAGAAAAAGGAATTACATTATGTGAAAGTCAGCTTAAAAATAATTATTTTTATCAGTAAGATATTTTGTTGTTATAGTACACAGGTACAACAGGTACAAACACATAAAAAAGAGAAAAAAGACACTTTAAATCCATGAAAACAAAATCAAGTAGGATACCTTCTCTATTAAAAGTAGATAACAAATCCAGTTAATTAAACTTGGAAATGCTACATTTGAACTGAAAATAATGCAGGTTTTGTGTTGAATAAGTTGGGAGATGCAGTCAAGGATTAAAGCTGAGACTTTTAATCCTATTAAGAAATAAAACCGTTTCCAAAACACTGCAATAATTGGTGTCAAAACAAAAACGTTGGACAAGTTTCTGTGATGTACAAAGATTTAAAAAAAAATAACACATTTCCTACACGATAATAAAACCTAGAAAAACCCAGTTTCTCATATAGATAACCTGTATCCCAAAATAATTTCAGAACAAGGAAATGAGAAGATTTCAAGCAGACATGCACAACCTTCTGTGCATTTGAAAAAAGATACCACTGTCCTTCGAAACTCAGCATCCCTGTAAACATAGAAGTGGCAGCATTTTGCTGTGATAGATTTGATGAAAAGATTAATGGGGCTAAATAGAGAAGCCTTGGAAAAAAAATTTTTGCAAAAGACTTGGAACTGGATGCATTTTATAGATGCACTCCTCCTACATCAAATTGCCAGTGTGTGTGGAGCAAACTTTCAAAGAAAAATGCACAAAGTATTATGTAATACCATAGATGTGATTAAGTGGTAAAGTCTAAAGTACCGCAAGAGATTTTCAACTGTATCTGAAGCAAAAGGTGGTTGTAGGAATTATTAATTCAGAGGGAGATACAGATGCACACCACACTTTTCAGATTTTTTTGCGGCACAACTTTTTCTCTCAACTTACAGTTCTGAATTACTTTATGTAGACTTTTTGCTTTAAATTTGACTTTCATACTTTGTGTTTTAGTCAAGGGGCGGAGCTAAATGGGGGGCCAGGGGTGGCCATGGCCACCCTTAGCCAATCATTATCCACATGACAACCCCTGCAATTCTTTCCCCTCTAATACAGATGGTGGCAGCAGTAATACTCTCAAGCGGACTATCCAAGATATTTTAATTTTTCATATATTAACAATAACTTGATTAAAAAAAACACTGTGGTTAATTATGCAAATCAATATACTAATATCAAAGGTGATAAGTACAGAATTCATGCTCTTTTCAGAACTTGATTTTCTGTTATATGGGGTAAAAAGAAAATGATGCATCTCTGCAAGTGATCTAGGACTCTTTAGTGAAATAATTGATAAAAAACTATTTTAATAAAAATGTATTAAATAATCAATTTATGTAGATTTCAGTACATTTAAAAATAAATTTTATGCATTTTATTGATAAAAGTAGGAAAGTAATGACAATGGCAAAGATGTTCGCGGCAAAACTCAAACCTGAAAGAATTTTATCCAATATACCTTTTATCTAGAAAGCAGGGATGTTTAAATATATGCATCTATTTGTTAGCAAAGGCTGTAGGAAAGTATAATTTATCTTTATTTAGAAAATATGGATGTTGTGCTCGTTTATTTTCCTGTTGGAACAGTGTAGATTGACCCTGAGGTCATGGCGCCTATTCGCTTTCGGCCACCCCTCATTGTACATTGGTTATTGCCTGATCAACCTTATAAAATTTTCTGGCTACGCCTCTGGTTTTAGTTGGATTAAATGTGAATAAGCTAAACAATTATCAATACTCTCTGTGGCTCTGTGTACTATTTAGAATATATTTTTGATGTTTCAGATCTAGATGCTTTTTAAACCACATGGTTCTCAGCATCTGCTAGAAGTTTCTGTAGCTTTCCTTTCAGCTTTTACTGTTTCCTTTTTGGAAGTGTTGGGATTCATGGGTCATCCCTTCTTGATAATTAAATCCCTGCCTTTCTGAGAATGCCAACACTTCATTTCTATTGTTCTCTGCCATGTGTGCTAATCACAGCCCTTTCCTTTAACAATAACAGGAAGGAGAATTAATTTTAGATCTTTTTCATCCTGCAGCAACCCAGCAAGCCCAGTGGAAATGAAAATATGCAGTTCATTTCCTCCCAGTGAACATTTATCAAACTCCAAAACTGAAACTTATGCTCAACACAAGAGGAGATAACCTTTTCATTAGCAATTATAGAGTTTTCTCCAAATTGGCTGCACATAGGCAAAAGGAAGTCTGTAATAGAGCGTCTTTCTGATGGCTCCTATGGAGAACTATCATTACCACTGCTCCTGGTGTTACACAGCTGCCAGCAGCTGACTGGTCTAATTCATACCACAGCATGCGTAACCCTCCCCCTCCTCCCACTCTTGCAGCAAACACGCTGAGGTCACAAGTGAATCACTGCCCTAACAAATGACTAAGATCAGATATGGCTTAATGTAGATATTGGAAGCTATAATTTTTGACTTTGCAGTTAAAATAGCTGCTTGCCAGGACAGTAAAACACATCCTTATAAGTCTGTCAAATGTAAAAGAAGCAGGAGAAGCTCACTCTTTTGCCTTGTGCAGTCTTTGGCTCATTTCATTAACTCAGCACGCATTAGAGCCTACTTTTGCAACCCGCAGACAGTGCACCACTAAAGCTTTATAGTCTACAAACCGTAAACTGAAGTGGAAAGCAAATTGCAGCTGTAACAAAAGAATAAAGACTGTTTTAAAGCAGAATCAGTTTGTGCCTCATCATATCTCTCAATAAAAAAGGAGACATATCCATCAGTCTAACTTGCCTGTGCAAATTCTCAGTCAGGTTATAGCAACTTCTAAAGAGGCAGCATGCTTTTTGCTCCGTTTTTCTGAAAATTATTTAACATCTATACAGGCGTATTTGTTCATTCTGTCAGCGGAGGTCGCTCTGGTCACTTCGTATCAAACTTTTTGACCAACATGCAAAATGCTTTCTTTCAAGTAGAAATGACTTTTGCACATCTCTTCATACACACCATCCCCATTATAATGCACGTAGGTGGCACCATCATGCTGTTTATGGTATATCAATCATGCACCATGGAAATATAGGCCGATATCAATATTCTCACACTAATATTACCCTTTTAACACAGAAAATAAACCCAGCAAAGTTGACATTTAGCATATGGCCTGCATTGTTTTAACAAACATCGGACAACCAATCACCATCTGCTCTGAAACTAAAACAGTAGCTAGATGGAAATAAAGATTTGTATTAATGTTAGAGGTGTCAAGTAACGAAGCACAAATACTTCATTACTGTACTCAAGTACACGTTTTAGTTATCTATACTTTACTCCAATTATTTTTCTTCCTACTTCTGACTTCTACTCATTACATTTTCACATAAGTATCTGTACTTTCTATTCCTTACATTTTTAAAACAAACGTTATTCGTTACTCTTGACTTCGGCTTTATGTTTATAAATGTTTGTTTCACGTCATGTGCGCCATCCAATGCAGATCATTGGCTCCATCTACAACTAGTGAGAACTAGTGTCATTGGATGAGTCATATAACGCAAACACTCATTGGTTAGCTGAAGGAAATCATCAGAAGCAAGCAGGTGTTCTTCAAACTGTAAACGAATTGTCTATGCCATGCTACAATGTCATATTTAGAAAAAGATGTTGAAATATCTGAAAGGTTGGACACAGGGGAGAGCGTATCGGGAGATGGAGACCAACAAGACCTCCCTCATCCTTGGTCCTATCTCAAAGAATTCAAAACAGTCAAAAAAACGAGCTTTAAGTTCATATCGTGGCATCTGGCTGTTTTTTTTTTTAAAAGGTTAGTTTATACTTTAAGTCGTTTTTGGAGCACATACTTTTTCACTTTTACTTGAGTATATATATATATATATATATATATATATATATATATATATATATATATATATATATATATATATATATATATATATATATATAGTATATATATGTATGTGTGTGTGTGTGTGTGTGTGTGTGTGTGTGTGTGTGTGTGTATATGCATATATATATATATATATGTATATATATGTATGTGTGTGTGTGTATATGCATGTGTGCATACCCATGTTTGTATGTATGTATAAAGTCACCTGGCTCATAGATAATATCTGTTTGCGCTTCCATAATAAGGACCCTCTTGATCTTTACATTGCCTGTCTAGGCATTAACCTGTGTGATGTGTGTGTAGATGGGGGGGGGGGGGGGGGGGGGGTCATGGGTGCGGGGTTCACCTGCACAGCTCCAACACAAACTTGTCTCCAGCCTAATAAAGTAGACGGCCAGCCTTCCTGTGTACATACCATAAAGCAGCCTGTGGTGGGACATCACATTACCGAATGGGTTACATAATACAGATGACGATGAGAACTGAGCACAGTAAAGCGCACAGAACACCAGTCAGAGGTTTTATATCCATAAACACCGCAAACGGTAGAAAAACAGAAAACTCCGATCAGCCAGCATGAAGCCAGCTGACGGCTCTCGCCTCATTTACCCGGAGATCATTTTTCCTTTTGAAAAAACAAACCGTTCAGACAACATTAGGAAATTCGAAACGGAAATAAATCCAACACCGATTATTATTTCCTTGAACTTTCGGACCTGTGTCTTTAAGAGAAAGAGGGAAAAGGCTCCAATAAAGCAGAGTCCGAATCGCGAAGCTCCGAGCGCCTTACCTCTTTCCAGTGTGAGCGGCTGGACCACTGTCGCCATGACTGCTGTTTACTGGAGACTGGAGAGAGTACAGGAGCTGCAGCATCACAGACAGAGAGAGGGAGGCTGGGAGTGGTTAGAGGAGGAGGACCGAATCTGCATCCATCCTCCTCATCACCTGCCGCTCTTTGCAGCCACTAAACTATTAGATTTTAAAGTCAGAATTCTGAGAAAAAAAACACAGAATTCTGAGAAAAAAGTCAGAATCCTGAGATTAAACTCAGAAGTCTGAAAAAAAACCAACCTCAGAATTCTAAGATTAAGGTCAGAAATCTGAGGGAAAAACTCAGAAGTCTGATTAAAAACACAGAATTCTGAGAAAAAACACAGAATTCTGAGATCAAAATCAGAATTCAGAGATTAAAGTAAGAATTCTGGCGGGAAAAAAAATCAAAATTCTGAGATTAAAGGCAGAATTCTAAGATTGAGGTCAGAATTCTGAGGAAAAAACACAGAATTCTGAGTTCAAAATCAGAATTCTGGGATTAAAGTAAGAATTCTGTGTGTGTGGTGGGGGGGTGGGGGAATCAGATCTCGGAATCAGAATTCCGAGATTAAAGTCAGAATTCTGAGAAGAAAGTCAAAATTCTGGGAAAAAAGTCAAAATTCTGGGAAAAAAGTCAAAATTCTGGGAAAAAAAAAGTCAAAAGTCTGAGAAAAAAGTCAGAATTCTGAGATTCAAGTCAGAATTCTGACTTGAATCCCATAATTCTGGATCTTAATGTAGATGGGCACCATTAAGGAAGAGATGTGGAAGCTCTCAGCTTCACTGACAAAGATGTGAGTTGTTTCGGAGGGCCAGTAACACATTTTTACATACAAAATGACAATAAAAGTTGTCAAGGTCTAACTCTAAAATCATTCAACAACACCCCAAAGATTGGGATTGATAGGTTTAAATATTGCTTTGCTGTGGAAGCTGCTCTTTAACATGATGTAGTTTTTAAGGCTGTTTTCTCTGCACCAGTCCATGCATTTGTACTTTGCCAAAGCCAGTTTTAACTACAGCTAAAGTCCTTTAGGATGTGCCTTTGCCATATTTTTACATCTTGAGATTGTTTCCCAATTAAATTATGCAAAATAGCTCCAGATCGGTCAAAATAAGATTTGCCAGGGATGTCAGTCTTTTCTTAAAGAAGCTATCCTAACCTTTGCTGCTTTGACCTTAAACATTGCATGGAGTTTTGTCAGTATGTTTACGTTTGCTGTCCTTCTGAATAATGAGCCTCCCCTCGCTGCCTGTTACCAAGGTTTCTTTCCACATTTATGTGTGCATAGGGACAATTTCTTCAGGAAGATATGACTATAGACAAAAAACCTGTTAAGCTACGTTCACACACAGGTCTTGATGTTCGATTATAATCCTTTTTTTTGTAAATCCAATCTTTTAGGCATTGTCTTATTCTAATAATTAAATGTGATTGATATCACATTGCGGAACATCAAAGCGACCCGCAAACACTGAGGAGGAATGTAGACGTCACACAGCACTTCATGGTTTACAAAAGTAATGATGCGTGGGACTCCCCAAAAAATATTACTGTCAATTCCAGTGTCTCCGTGTTATCAAGTCTTGAGCAATACAAACTGATAGTATCATGGCCCCATAATTAGTATTTAGGGCCACTTGCAAAGTTATCAGTGACTCCAGATGCTTTGAAAGCTATCGAATACATAGCTGGTTTATTTCCACATCTGGAAGTAGCTTGAATCTGATTTATTTGGGGAAGTAAAAAGATCTGATTTGCTCCCTTAAGGCTGCCATGAAAAAGTCAGACCTATGTGCCTTTTCTATACTGCAAATAAACAATGGAAAGAAATAAATAAATAGAACATACTATAAAGAACCAGCTTGACACAGTAAATCGACTCAATTATTGTAGTAGAGTGCAGTTTTTGAGAACCTTGCACTTTAATTGAGCAGTGCAGTCATTACTTTCACTATACTCCACTACTTTTCTATAAAGGCATTTATTAATGGCTACTTCTATTGGTTGCATTATTTGCTTGTATTTTGTCCTTATTTGTGTGATTGTTGTGGTAGGAGCATGGAGGCAATGAGCAGCTCTTCGACTGTCCATCCATCCATCCATCCATCCATCCATCCATCCATCCATCCATCCATCCATCCATCCATCCATCCATCCATCCATCCATCCATCCATCCATCCATCCATCCATCCATCCATCCATCCATCCATCCATCCATCCATCCATCCATCCATCCATCCATCCATCGTCAAACTTATCCCAAGTAGGGTCGCATAGGTCGTGAGTCTACGGGCGAGAGGCGGGGAACACCCTGGACAGAATTGGATCATACAAATTATCAGTTTGTATGAAATCGTACGAAAAGTTATGCACAGTATTTTGTACGTTTTTGACGTTTTTTTCGTCGTATTCCGTCGTATTTTTACGTCTTGCCTCGAGACAAGATATCCGTGCGCATGCGCATCTTATGCACCATTCAATAACATAAAATTTAACATACAATTAACCCTAACATACAAAACAGCAAGCAACCTAGTGAGAGACATCATGAAGTAATTATTGCACTGTCCGTCCCAGTTTTACGTCCGTCCGCTGATCTGCTTTTTTCGTCTGTCTGGCTGCGCATGCGCACTGATATGTTTTGTCGAGGAAAAACGTCAAAAACGTACGAAATACTGTGCATAACTTTTCGTATGATTTCATTCAGGGGCAAACTGCTGCTGAACAGTGCTGCAAGGAATTTGCCAGAACATTCAGCAAACCAGCTATAACCAGCAAAAGGCAAAACTCTCCTACTCATCCTTACATCTTTTCCCAAAAAAACCCTATAAGACCCGTAATGCTGTTGCATGCAGATGATGTTTTCTAAATGACGACAGAGCACCTTATATTAAATTTGACAAGAACATTATTGTTGTTTCCAATGTTACAGCCAAACTGTTTAGTTCATACTAGGAATAATCTCAATGTTCTAATATCTCTGCAGAGGCTGTGCTCATTATTGCTCCCCACAAATATAAAGGAATTCTTTATTGCCATAATAAAGAGCTGAGTCGGGCAGGAGCCATTAGACCAGAGGCGAGCAGCAGGGACATTCATACGGTCTTCACAGGTTTGAAGAAATTATAAAGGCTGATATGAGTTGCAGGGGAAAAAGGCACAGATATTATAGAATAACTTGCACATACACATATTGCAATAAGAAGCACAGAGATATAGCCTTGTGTCAGGGCACAGACCAGGTTGTTTCTTTATTAATTCCTTACATCTGTGCTGTAACGTGTGACTAAAACATTGATGTGTTTAATGTTGTGTCACGTTCTATAGTATAGTCCATTAAATTAATGCTTATTACCCTGATATCCTTATCAGTCCAATTTCCGTTGTTTGTGCTAAGTAATCATGCGCTTGCAGTAACAGCCTTTTACTTAATATTCCAGGCTCAGCTTAATGATGTGGCTTCTATCCCTGCAAACATTAGTCATTTTGTCGTCACAACAAGAGTTTGGCAGCTAAAACTTTAGCTAGAAGAACTAAAGTCAGTCAATAATGCTAGACTCTGACTATTATGTGCTTATTTAATCATTAAGGAGAGATGCAATTGAAGGCGAGAGAATGATGTGATAAAATCACTTCATAGACCTCAAAAATGACCTCACTTATGATAGAAAACACATTTCTGACATAAATCTAAAAGCAAGATATAATCTACAGAACATTTTCCTTTTAGGTCCAAATAATGCACTTTGTTGTTTTTCTTTATACCATTAAATCAAAAATAAATTGTATTGAATTTCTTGTTTTGTTTTAAAACATCTCATGGGTTTAAACATTCTTGCAGGACACAGCATGCTTAATAGATATTTTTTTTCCAAGCAGTTACAGGAGGAGCCCTCCATCTTACACCCAGATTTGTGATTTCAGTCATTACAAAGTCAAGATGTATGATTGCTTTAACAATTTCTACTCTTCAGGACACACTTTCAATGTGATTATCTGGGGAAATTTGCACCTATTTAGCTATAAAAGCTCAAGAAAAGTCATGGATGTTTTTACTTGGAGCAAATATTCCTTTTTATCAGGAAATGTTTTTAACCACAGATGCAGTTCTGTGGAGATTTTCCATAACAAGCTAAAAGCAGCAGTTGTTTGTGCAAAGGGGCACTGAATCACTTAGTTTCTCTAATAAATAATACATTGCTAAGCCATATAGCAATCCACAATACCTGACAATAGCATACTTTTTCCTCAAAGGTTGCATTATAGCTGAACTGGAAACATAATTTCTGTTTATTTTACTGATTCAAAATTCTATTAACATATTCTGTAGGTTTGCATTTTGCATATGTCTGTGCATAATTTGTTTTTAATTGTATCCAAGCAATGCATGCAGGTATTACACCTCCGATGGCTGAAAACACGCTTAATATTGAGGTAGACTGTTGAGCACTGAGCCCTTCTTCCTCTTATCTGCTTGTCGGGCTACATGCGCTGCGTATGGACTGATGGGGAATAAATGATGGCAGTGAACCGAAGTCGAAGGGCTTAAGGATTAATCTTGATGTTTACGTGCCACTATAGAGTCAAACCAGACTCTCCTTGGTTACTGTACATCAGCTGCCAAATGGGGTCTGCAGTACTCCCACTATCATTAGAGCCAGTAGAAGTCAAGCGTAAAAAAAGAAAACAAAAAAAGAAAACTAGAACATTTCTGGTTATTAAGAAGCTAAGGAAGCGTGGTGTGTCACATGGGTAACAAATTTTGCCGTCACATATTCAGGATAGATGTGAAGAAAGGCTATGGACAAGAGCCAATAAGAATAACTATACATACAGAGCCATACTATAGGTCATTTATTTTTTTGTGCATGACAGAAAATAAAAGTCTGTGAGCTTATACCCTTGTCAGCCGCATTAGCTTTAACCTCACTTCTGGATTTGAATAATGCTTCTATTTTTAGATGAATATTACACGATGATGATCTGTTTTTAACTTATCCTCTTTCTAAACCTGCACACTCATAACTCCTCAGGTAGTATATGCTGGTGCATTCCATCCTTCCCAACCAGCTGTTTGCTGAGTTGATGTGTTTAGTGGATGGCTGGGTTGGTGGATAGAGGGTAGGGGCTTAGGGAGCAACCAGAAGGAGGCCACTGTGAGATTACAGGCTCACCCATGTGGGCTCTAATACAGTTTTGCTTTTTTTTTTTTTTTTTTTAGAGGTGGGATTATATTGCACTGCTTAATGGCCTCCCACAGCAAGGCAAGTGATTTCTCAAAGGCGTTTCCTTATCCTAAAGGACACACAAGAAGCCATGGAGACGGACCAAATACTGTTACAGATTAAAGCCATAGGCATTAGTGCATGTTAGTTTGGTTTGTATTGCTGAGTTTCTGTCAATGTCATCTAAAAACATTTGGCAACTAACACTTAACCCTTTAAAGCCTGATCCAAGAATAAAACAAAACAGAAATTTTTTTTTTTGGTTTGAAGTCCTTATTTGGCCTTTTAACAAAATATGTAAAAAGAAAAAACAGAAATACATTTTTGATATTAATAATTTATTACTATGCGATAAGTCAAGATTTTTTTGTGTGTAGTCTTCTGCCCTCTGTTATCAGTTATATCTGATTGTGTACAATAGGATTTTGAGCAAAGTTTTTACCATTAAATTATGCAAAAGGTGTCAGACGCAAAACATTTCAGAAACTGTATGTATCAAATATGATACATTTGGCATTATAGGGTTAATTATACGGAAGAGGATTAGGGCCACTGGAAAAAAAAAAAGTTAACTGATTTTTTTTATTTTATTTCAGTTTAATATGGTAAAAAAGTCAGAATTCTGACTTTAATCTCAGAATTCTGACTTTAATCTCAGAATTCTGACTTTAATCTCAGAATGTTGGATTTTAATGTGGATGGGCACCATGAAGGAAGAGATGTGGGAGCACTCAGCGTCACTGACAAAGATGTGAGTTGTTTGAGGTGGCCAGTGACACATTGGTGGAAAATGACGGAATTAGGCAACTTTTTACGTGCCTGAGGGGTCCCCTCATTAATGGAGGAGCAGAAGGTCATTAAAAGAAGAGAGTTAGTCTCTAAAACAGACATGGCTATGGCTTGATGCTAACATGTTTGTAAGCTGTCAGAATTCTGAGAAAAAAGGCAGAATTCTGACTTTTTTACCATATTAAATTGAAATAAAATGTAACTTTTTTTTTTCAGTGGCCCTAATCCTCTTCCGTATAATTACACTAGAATATTTACTGCATTTGTTTGATGATAAAACTGAAGGTCAGTTGGAATTACGAAGAGGGAAACAGGTGAAGAAATAATAATTTGTGTGTATTCACTCCATTTGGACTTTTCTTAATTTTGTCACTTCAAAGTTTAAAAATTTCTACTTCATCCCTCTAAAGTATATCCCTGATGTATGATGCATGTTGCAGCTATAGTAATAGTGACCTCAGTGAGCCACACGTAGCATTTTGAATGCTAATGTATGCTTAATTTCATCAGAAAACCCTCTTCCACATGTTGTGAAAAGAGCTGTTTCAAACAAGGCTTGAAGCAAACTGCAAACTCCTTCTAAAATAATTTTTGGTTCTTGTGACTTCCACCTTTAACTGCATTGAATCATATTGAGGGCAGATTTGTGGAGTTTGAGTTGCAGATTTCTGTGGACAGACATATCTTGATAAATTTGTAGTTGCATCAAACATTTTCTACGTTTAGATCAATGACTTAAAAGAACTCTACATGATGCTGAAAGGTGGTGTTTTTTAACCTAACCCTGATGGAACATTCTTTACTTCTTTGTCATTAATGTTTTCTGTTCTCCAATAAATAATGCAAGTTTTGGTCAAATAAAAAGTTTAAGGGGTGTTAACGATTTTCAACTACTGCGCCTAAAGATTCTGGTCTGAGGCATTTGATTAATACTTTTTTAGTGATTGCAAGCTATTATATTAATGTTCCTCCATTAAACTAAACTGTAAGAACTGCTGCATCTTAAACTGCTCTCCAAATTAAAAAGTTAATCTTTATCTCAAAGCTAATTTGATTGATTATAAATCCATTTTCAGGGGCAAAAAAAGCTCTGTTAACTTCTGCTGCAAAAGTGCAAGAACATTACATCCCCTGCAGGTTGCAGTGATACTTTTATCAAAAGAATTAGAAGCATGTTTGAAGGAATAAGGATCTAGAACGACTTTATTCAACATTTTAGTTTAAATTTGAAATTATTTGTTTTTTAGACAAAAAATATGATCAAGAATTTACTAAATAGATTTGGAAGTGAGATAAAATAAAAGAGGGATATATTTGTTTTCATCTAAATAAAGTGCTTTTATAGTAGAACTTTCTTTTCCCATCAGATTTTATTAATGCAAGAAGTTTAATGAACCCAGTGGTTGCAAGGCAACTGCTTCCCTGGAGAACGCCATGATTCCTGCAGCATCTGATGGAAACATTGTTACACATGTATAAATAGAAACAGATGATGTGAAACATCAGATGGTTGAGTTACTCAAGCCCAGTGGGATTCTGGGCAGAGGTCATGTCCAGCGAGGGCGAGCTGGATTATGGGTATTTACCAGCAGCTTGGAAGCTGTTTGGAAGAAACGTGCAGAAAGCACAACAACTCAGAGCAAAATTGTAGACACTGGGACGAGAAGTGATTGGATATAGAATTTTTTTCAATTGTTTTTACGACTACAAATAATAAAGATGATATACATTGGTATTTAACCTTCTTTATCCCTAAATCCTTGAATGAATTGCAGAGCTATTGTTTTGAGAATTACTTTATATGACTTAAGTATGAATACAGTTGTTTTGTGAAGCCCTTAAACGGATTTGAACAAAGTAAACCGTTTTTCTCTAAAAAAGATAAAAGAACCAGAATAAAACAGGTCACTGAGCTACAAAAACACAACCAAGGATACTGAAGGAATTTCTGCCAGTTCTGGTTGTTGTCTTAGTTTGGCAAAAATCTTCCACTCTTTTTATGTCTGGATTAAGAATTAGGATTCTAGACTGAAGCCATTTCTTCTGCAGAAAACAGCCAAGCTGGTCTCAGGGATTCTGAGAACTTGTAAGAGAATGAATGTGTGTTATGGCTGTTATTTCAGGGCATTGTTTCAAATGGCAAATGTTTGGTTCAATAAGACGATAACACTATGCTATATAGAACCATAATGCCCACTCTGAAACATAATATCATGATTTAGAGTTGATTTTCTGCAGCTGGAATTGAAGTTTTCACCAAAAGTATTTGTAAAAAACAGCTTAAAATATGTTTTAGTATTACAGTTATTCCATTCATACATTAACATCAAACAAAAGAATGTGTTCAGGAAAAAAAAAAAATAGATATGCTTAAATTGGACCAACTTCAATCCTCAAAATGTGGGAGTCCAATGTTGTAGAGGCTAAACTAATAACTAAAAACAAATTTCAAACAGGTATATAACAAATGGCATTTTTTTTTCAATGCAATAAACCAAAACCATAAACACATGAGTAAATCATGCAATGTTGGAATAAAGTATCACAGAGAATTCTAAACATATATATTAAAGGCAATTCACAGTATTTGGTCAACAGGTTGAACGGTTTGGTTGAAAGGCTAATCAAAAACTGAATAACATTAATATCCGATTTGATATTTAGAAATGATGCACACAGACAGATTTTATGTGCACATTTTGGAATTTTTAATACTCAAATGCATATAAAGATGCCATTAATATGAAAGAATAAATTAATGAAACTTAGAAAACTTAGAAACTTAGAAAAGAAATCCTTTATTGTGAACCATACAACAGGGTAAATATAATATCTATTCTTTACTGCATGATCAGCTGATCTTGGAATAATTCAAATTACTCACCGAGGATAGAGTAGACAGAGATTTTACTCAAGTAGGATTAGTGATACTTTACTTAGACAGATTTATATGTCTTTTTGTTGTAAAACAAAACGACATTTCGTTTGGAACAGCTCTCTGGACAATTTCATCTTTTTAATCATTTTCATCATTTTTTTTCAAAATGTTACTCAAGTAAATGTAACTTAGTAAATGTAACTAGTCTCTATCTACCACTGAGTTTAAGATGATGCATAAAACAAAATGCCATGTTTTATTTAAGAGAAACTGATTTAGAAAGACTGAAAATAAGCTAGAAATCTGGAATTAAGTTGAACACATGCAATGGGAAAGCAGTTCACATTGCAACTGTGGGTTATGTAACATCTTCTTCTGCCCACTATTGTGTCTCAAAGCTCCTCCTGCAAAAACTACATCCAGTTCATAGTTCAAATTCCTGCAGGGCATTGAAGGAGGATTTCTAAAGTCTTCTTTTCCTTTAGGTCAACTCGATCACTGTTGATTATTACAACTTTTACCTGCAAACGGGACATTGAGTTAAAGTAACAGTTTGAGATAACTACAGAAACAATGCATTCCCAAATAAAGAACTTAATGCGCTTGACGCCCTGCGCTCCTGTCCACAGCAAGAGGATATTGGAAAGGAAACTTTGGTATTGCTGTGCAGCAAAACAACCACAGCTAGAAGGAGGCTTTAGCGCTACAGGATCGCATGCAGCTGCAAAAGAAAATGTTTTTTCCGGATTACAGAGCTGCAGAAACTATGCGTCCGAGTGCGCTTACACCCAAGCCTTCGCCTCGGCGAGGGACCACCCTGAAACTTTCTGGGGTGAGATGGGACACAACATAAAATGGTTTGAGCCCTGGAGCAAAACTCTGCATGTTGAAGACCCGGTGTTTCCAAACTGGTAGGTTTTCAGCGAGTGTTTAAACAACACAACATAGAAAAACTTCATGTGTCAAATTGGCATGAAAGGAGGGGAAAAGCTTTATGCTGGTAAAATAGGAGAAAACTATAGGCTATCTAAAAGAAAACATTGGATGCAGTTTTATGAAGCGCCAAAAATGCCACAATTCTTGAAAAAAAAATGCCCTTCAGAAAATATAATCAAATAAAAAAAGATGAAAGATACAGCCTTGATTCAATACAACTAATCACATAAATAGGATACCTGAGAAGCAGAAGTAGAGCAAGGCTACCCTGTTGTAAAGGTTTAATCACTTTATATGGAATGCCTGAAATGCCAGAAGAAAACACGTGCAATTAAAAATTCCTTGTTTTTCCTAAGCTTATTAAAAACATCCACTTAAACATTTTGGGTTGTATTGCAGGAGGTTTATCATGCTGCCATTGTACACTTCTAAATCATTTTGAATTAAACATTTGAATAAGTATGTTTTAGAAGCCATGTGTGAATGTGTTGAATTTGTAAACCACAGTGGGATTTGACTTTTGAGATGCCTGGCATTTTTTTATTTGGGTGGAAACACAAACAAGTCTGTTATGGTGTAAGTTTATTTATTTAAAACAGTTTTAATGTGCAAAAGAACACCAAATGGGACATTTATGTTTTGTACAGCTGTAACAGTGATGTCACACTTACTAAAACTTAGATTTCCTTAATTTAACGTATTATAATACAATGATGACAATGTTTATGGATGACAAAACATTAGGTCAAAATTGGCAAACAAATCCGATTGAAATCAGTGTTTGAGAATTAAGAACCATTCCAAACATTTAATTCTGTACAATATTGTTTAACCTGTTATTCGATTGAAATTAAGAATATACAACCAGGTAGCCTGATAAACCAGACTAAATGTGAGATTAAATGTATAATCTAGTTTGGCCCTGATGAGTGAGTAATCGGAAGATTGTTGATAAGAGCAACCCTTTGTTTTTAAAACAGCTTTCTGTGCCTACTGGCCAACGCTCTGACCAATGAGTGCAACTGACTGTGATGTAAAAAGAGCGACAGAAAGTTGGTGGGGGAGTGTAAACAAACAGCCTGTTGGTAAAACAGCGAATACGTCCTTCTTAAAAATGAATGAGTGTACAGCCTCTTCTGCTCACGTTTCAACGAAAACCCCAAGTCTAATCCTTCCAAAACTGATTCCAAAGCTGAGTCAAACGAGAATTGTTAAATAGTTGTTGCCATCTTCCTTGCTATGCTTTCTCCAACATTGCACCGCTTTGTCGTCCCGCCCTCAAAAACTTTAAATCCCAAAATTCCAAACACATCTCTGCGTTGTGATTGGCCCGCCAGTTCTAGGGCCTTGGGCATTGATCGAGGCTAGACCAACTCACAGGCAAAAATGATTTTGGCCGCTGGCGGATGGGGCTAGTTTACTAGGCTAACAACCAGGTACAAAATAAATGTTCGAAGATCATGAGTTTAGTTTTCTATAACGTCTGTTGTATTTTTGATCATCCAACAGCTGGGTTTTATTTTTATTCAAATAAATAAATGAAATTCTAATTTCATTTACGTCATTTTCACTTTCCTTTTGGCTTAAGTAAGTTGTGCCAGGTTTTAATTTTGGTTGATTTTGGCTACCCCTAGTGGAAAAAAGCGGTATTGTTTTGCCTGAAGGAAGACAGTGGCAGTGTGAAAGATGAAAGGCAATGAGGTAATCAAACTGTGACGAAACAATGTCATGTGACAATGATGAAATTAAGAAACTTCTACCTTTGGCTTTGTACTGTATCACTTTACCTCTGCTGTCACCTCAACCAACTCGTCAGCAACTAACGTGCTGACAAGTTTAGAACCTTGAAACAGGTAAACATAATGTTGTGTTTAATAACTTCACAGTAAACGCACGTGTAGATCCGGTCATGCATTACCTGAATCTCAATCCTGCATAATTGGTGCGAATAAACAGTCTCAGGGAAATTTAGTTGCATCGACTACCGTCTTTATAACAAATGGGGAAAGTTACATATGTCGTTTTTTTGTGTGTTGTTGGATTTTTTTTTTCGCTGGCCAAAATAGCTGTTTAAACCGAGGAACAATCATCTTTTATTTGTAGTGGGTATGGCTCACTGACCCGTGTTGTATTGTGTCATACCACTCAACAAGCGACCCCTTGCTCTGACTGGCGTACAGTGGAATTAGCCGACCTGGGTCGACCCGCTAATTTACGTGACACCATTGTTTGCAATGTACGAATGTCAACACACCGCTAGTAACATTCGATAAACACGGTGCAGCACTGGTGAGACAGAATCAGAGGGACAAAAAAACCAAACATATAAGTACAGTTACTATACCCTGGCTCCCTATCATATTGCTCTCCATTGTTCACTTTCCTGATTTCTGTCCCACTTGTGACATTGTCAATGCTAACCCCGTTTGCCAGTGTGGGGACAAACCTGGCTTTGTTTTGCCAATGGCAGGGTTGCCAAATACTGGTCAACCTGTGTTTGAAAAACCCAGCTAATTTCCCTTTCCTCACTAATTTAGATGGGAAAGAGTCTTAACTTATAGAGAACACAATGTCAGCCTTCAGACAGAAGAACAAAATTTGGAGCTGTCAATTACAGGACCTGGTGTGGAAGGATAAACAAATACCCTGACAGTTATATAAACATCAATTGTTCTGCCTTCTTGTTGTTTAACTGTTTTAAAATCTGCAGAATCATCTGCCTGATGTAAGCCATTGATTAGCTGTAATCAGCAAAGCACAGACCTTTACCAGATGAGTTCATTGTGCTTTACCCATCTTTATCACAGTCACAATCATGCTGAATATATGTTCACATGTCTTTATAAATATAAAAGAGAAATAAAATATATTACAGGAGACTGCAGAGGTCAGATCTGTTTTACATTAGAGATAGTCATGCCAACCATTGAAGTCCTTTTCAGGAAAAAAAACCCCTGAACCTTTAACTAACTCCTAATTTCTGTAAAAGCATAACAACGGCAGATTATTTGTCTGGATGTGCATTAATCCTTGCATGTCTGTGATGAGAGTTTGTCTTTCTTGCAGGTTTGTTGGGGGGAAGGTAAACATGTGCTTTAATACTGTGGATCATCATGTGGAAAGTGGCCGTGGAGAACAGCCAGCCATCATCTATGACAGCCCGGTGGCTGGAACTAAAAAGATCATTACCTTCCGGGAACTTCAGGACCAGGTGAGTGGTAGCAAATAAAACAGGGAACTGGACAGCCTAATTAGCTGCACTGATAAAGCCTGATTTATAAGTTTTAAATTAAACCCTGTTTGGTTTTGTGGCGTTGAAAGAACACAATAATTTTGTTTTGAATCTTAAGATAAATGTAACTTTTTAAAGTACATTTATATTAAAATTTCTGGTGTATATAGTTATATAAAATCCTTTCACATAAACATTCATAAAAGGTACAGGTTGGGTTTCCTATAACGACAGTTTATATTCAGTGTTCTGCATCAATTCCTCTTTATGCTAATCCAGGTGTCGAGGTTAGCTGGAGTCCTTGTGAAGAATGGGGTGCAGAAAGGGGATATTGTTGTCATCTATATGCCTATGGTGCCCCAGGCCATGTTCACCATGCTAGCCTGTGCACGGATTGGTGCCCCGCACAGCCTCATCTTTGGTGGCTTTGCCTCCAAGGAGCTGTCAGTCCGGATTGATCATGCCAAAGTAAGGATTTTCCTCTGTTTACCTTTTATTTGATCCTGAACATCAAGAATAAATCATATTTTATTCAATAGACCTTACTTTATTCTTGGGATTTCTTCTTTTTTTAAAGTTGCTTGTATCCAACTTAAAATTAAATCTTCCTTTTGTGTTTTCAGTCTGCTTGTCTGTTCTGTAAATAATTAAAAGATACATGTAGACCTACCTGACCGACCTTTGTTATATTAAGCTCAATATGATTAATCATTAACCAAGGAACGACACATTTTGTTTACTTTGCACACGTTTATGCATAATACTGACACTACCATGAGCCACTCTTTGACCTCCACTGATGTTTGCTCCGTCATCATTGACCATGTTGTAATAAAAAGGAACTTTTTTGTATCCAGTAACAAACTTTGAGTATAATTCCACCTGTAACCATGATCACCTTATTGCTTTGTTAATGGATCATGTCTTGAAATCAAACTGGCTTTTAAGGACAGTCCATACAATTTAATAGGGTTAACTTCAGTTTGAATGTTTTAAATGCATGTTTCAGATATTAAAAGGTTGACATCCAATTACCCTCTTTAATGGTTCTGAATGTGTCAATCTTCTAAGTGTTACCCTAAGCATAAATGAAAGTACATCCGAATCCTTCAGGAATCAGGGTCTATAATACCTCAAAGCTATTATAAGCTGGAAGATACTGGAACACTGACTTCTCCTTTCACAATTAAGCAGTTTTACATTGGTTTTGACTGAGAGGGTTCTAAAAATAAAAGAGGAGATTCAATTTTCAGCGGCCCTTTTAGTCATTCTGATTGCCCAGCTTTCAATTACGGTAGTGGCAGCGTCATGCTGTGGTTGTGGGATAAGGTTTATTAAACTAAATGGACTGATGATTGACAAAAGTTTACATTAAATCAACAGTTGGAACTTTAACACAATTAAATGTGTCTGTATCCAAAAAAAAGAATACTTGCATTTGAGTCAATATATCAGGTCATATTAAGCTGGCCTTCTGAAAACCTGTAGCATTTTTTTTTACTTTTTTCAATATTTAGCTAATTAATTCCAATGAAGTTCATCAATATAGTGAAGAAAATAGGTGGCCAGATTTCCAGCCAGAAATATACAGATGTTTGGTGATGGCCATGGAATCTGTGCACTTTTCTTTAACTTGCAATAGGCCTATGTATTGGAGCCTATATGCAGTTTTTTTTTTTTTTTTTTTAACACTGTCTCAATTAGAGAAATTTCGCAATACATTCAAACTTGTACTCCCAGTTCATGTTAAAAAAATAAATAAAAATAAAAAAATAAAAAGACTGGCTGGAATAAATTATCAAAAGCCCCCCCAAAATAACATTTATACCCATAAGGAGATCTAACATCTCACCCCAGCATTTCTTAGTTAATGAGTTCAGTTACACAGATATAAGGAAAATGTGTTAGATTTTTTTTTCACTAAACTTCAGAGAAATGCTAATCTCTAGGTTAAAAAAGTAAAAACTGCTATATATTATTTAGTGCTTTGTTGCAACTTTAATGTAGAAAAGTAAAACACTATTTTAATTTTGCATTATATTACTTCAAATAACTTAATTTCAGTTGAAAAGTGAAGAGTTAAAAATTAAAAGACACTGAACAGTAAATAAGGAGCCAAAATTCTTTTAAAACAAGTTGTTTTTCTTTACTTCCTACCACCATTATTATTGTGGTTCAGGTTTATAGGCACTGGTTCTCTTAATTTGAAAGGCTACAGGAAATGCTGTTGATGATGTAGGAGGCACCAGGTGTGCTGGAGGCTTGCACCTGATTACAGAACTGCCAGAAAGCCCCTTGTGAACTACTCTCCGTTTCCTCTAATTTGTTTTCCCCCAACATTTTCACATGATTGGTGTTTCTGCAGCCCAAGCTGTTGGTGACGGCCTCGTTTGGCATCGAGCCAGGCAGAAGAGTTGAGTACATCCCGCTGGTGAAGAAAGCCCTGGAGATGAGCTCTCACAGACCCTCAAAAGTCCTCTTCTATAACAGGCCCAACATGGTGAGGACATTTAATGAATTTTAAATTATCTGGTATTAGAGTTAAAATTAAGAGCATGCAGGTTTGTAAAATTCCCAAAACAAATAGGCTTCTATACTCGGTATAACTGCTTTCAGAAATTTAATTTGCAACTTTGCAGAGATCCTGATTGGGAGCCGAGTCTTTATTTTATCTTTACAGCAGAAAAAAATACATTATGCTGTTTAATGTTGATCAAGCTTAAAGATTAATGAATATACTAACGATAAACAACATTTTCAAAGTCAGTTTTATCTTCCATTATGACAGCTATAGAAAATAACACAAATTACAAAAACATTGTAAACAAATTTTTAAATTATATTCTCTTATGGCCCAGAAGAAAATCTTGTTTGTGAAATCCTTAATAGTTATAGGTGGGCATTTATCATATTATCCTTATAAGTTTCAAGTAATAATACATTTGATTTATCATCTAAATTATTAATTACGATCAAAGAAGATTAAAAAAATTCCAAAAATTGTTGGAATATTTTTGTTTTTTTATGCTATTGGGGTTATTAACAAATGTGATGAATAGGATTAAATTACATTAATACCAGATGTTTATTGATATAAATCATGCTTCTTTATGTAACTGGTGCCATGAAAAAAGGTGATTATTTATTTTTTTTTAGTTCTTCAAGGATGTTGTTTGGGATTTTGCTGTGATGTTTTTAGTAAACAGTTGCAGCCATACAGTTAGCTAAGACGGACTTCTGAGAAGTAATGACATTTATTAAAGTGTCGCTTATGTTATCACGATAATATAACCCAATATCAGGCTACAATTTTAATTTATTATTGCCCAGCAATATGCAATATAAGTTTCGCTTGTCAATGTAAAACTACATATTTTGATAAATGCAACACAGATCATTAAGAGATAAAACAAAGGGTATTACTTTCCCAAGTTAACGTTTTAGCTAAATTGTGAAAAATGCTTTGTGATTTTAATTATTTCTGTTATATTTTTTATTTTGATTCAACTTAATTTATTATAAATCATTTAGCATTGACGGATCATCATTGTAGTTATTCCTCACCCATCCAAATATCTGTTTTTACCACAGATGGGCAGGTTTTCAGAAACCTCAAACTCAAGGACAAACTGTTTACTGATGTTATTTTTGGATAAAATCCACACTTTCTGTGCATCTACAGATTAAACTATTGTTTATTCATCTGACCTAACAGGAAAATCTACAGCCTGAAGATGAGACCAAATTAATGGAGTCATAATTGGAGCAAATCCATTTCATTTTGTTTCAGGAGAAAGTTTCTCTTGATCCAGAGCTGAACCTGGATTGGGACCAAGAAATGGCAACCGCTCGTCCACATGACTGTGTTCCCCTGCCATCCAACCATCCTTTGTATGTTCTCTATACATCTGGGACCACAGGAACACCAAAGGTACCATTATCAGAGGTTCATTGTCGGTTTCAGATGGGATTACATATTTGTTCTCAAATGACTTTTGGGGGGGGAGGGGTATGTTCAGCTTGATTTAAAAACGTTTTAAACACTGTCTGAGAACTCGAAACCAAGTGTGGTCTTGACCCAATGTTGAGCACAATTCTAAAGTGTTGGATATAAAAAGAAAATAAATAAATAAAAAATGATAGCAGAGCAGAATTTGATTCAGTAATAGGATGCCTGTCATCTGCCATACATGGAAGACAACATAAAATCAATAGATATGCCTGGAGAAAGAGTTTAAAGACATTTAGTCATTTTTGCTCCCTAGAATTCAGTCGTTTGGTAAACACATTTTCCTTTATATTTTTAAAACCTCTGCATAAATATGTTAATTTATGCTCTTGGTAAAGAAATAGGCCAAGCAATGAATCCTCCAGCATAAAATGTTCAAAAGGTGCAGCTGTTCTAAAAATGTACTGGCTGCAAAGCGTCAGATGGAATGAAAATCACCTTTTTCTTTTCTTCTAACCTAAACATTATTTATATGATGTTAAGCTTCTACATATTGTTGACCACAGTAATTGTATAAAGGTATATCCTGTAAGGGCTTACTGTTCAAACATTTTATTATTATTTTTTAGATGGAACCCGCAAGCTTGCCTCTTTAGTTTAAAAACATTTTATCTGCAAAACTCAGTTATAACACTTTTATCTGTTCCTTAACTTTTTAATTGATAATTCTTTGCATTTTTATTAATGGCATTAATAATTATTTTCCTTCAGTACACAGTGGATGTTGTATAACACTTTGTTGAAACGGAGAACTTGTAAGATTTGCTGTTTGATTTTATCCTAAATGGTTATTTATAGAGCCTGATCATGACTCATCAGATCTCCACGGTTGTGAAACCATCTACAGCCGCTATAAACTTTGTCACTGTGACATAAATAAAAGAAAAATGTCTGCTGGAGAAGTTATAAATGAAAAAATCATTGACATCCTGCAAATAGCATAATTTATCTTAAACTAATGGCAAATAAAGGAGTCTCCTGGGCTTTTCAGAAATGAGCTGAAAGTGAACACTTTTTATTTTTGGTTTCTGTCTGTTTGCTGCAGGATGTTTAGGTAGTTCTATTGCCTAAAACTGAGCCTGACACTGCTGGTTTCTAAAAGCATTCTTTCAAAAATGATATACAATTGCTTTCAACAGTGCATGTCTGAACTTCCATGTTTTAACTGATAGTGGAACCCTTCTTCTTAGCTTTGAGAAATACCTATCACTGCTTTAATGTCTTCCTTATCTCATTCCCCAGGGCATCGTAAGAGACACCGCAGGCTATGCTGTTATGCTGAAATGGACCATGTCAAATATTTATGGTCTCAGCCCTGGAGATGTAAGTTGATAAAGCTTTCGCTTCTTATTGCTTCTCTTCTGGGGGGGGGGAGGTGTAAGCAATCAGAGAGGGAGATGAATGCATTTTCACTTCATATGATCTGATTACAGTGAGATACGCAATAGGTTTTTAAATTAGTATTTTCAGCCGCATTTATCATTTAGATAGCTTCTATTTGATTTACATTTTCCGTGGCCTCAACAGTTAAGGACATTATTGCTTTTTTGTCTCCATTTTGGTGCAGTTTACTAGTGATAATACAGCTGTTGTTCTTTGATGCATAATATTACATGCATATATTTATTTAATACAGGTTTGGTGGGCTGCATCTGATCTGGGCTGGGTGGTTGGCCATTCCTACATCTGCTATGCTCCTTTACTCCATGGTAACAGCACCATTCTTTATGAGGTATGTCCCCTTAGAACAATAAAAACAGGCTACAGAAATGGTGCAGACCACATGAAATAAACCTGGCTACACAGAATACAACATCTATTAAATGTAGACCATAGAAATTCAGAGCATAGTTGTGACAATTAAGCAAAATAGGATTTATGAATAATTTATACATACTTCTTTTATGTGAATAATAAGAATGTATTTAACCCACCCTATCTTGCCTGACCCATCCAGCTCTAATACCAGCTATAAGACTTATCTTTGCATTTTAAACCGGGCAAAAATGTTCTTTCCAGTGACTTCTGATCCAGTCTGATTAAGCTTACTGGTAAGCTGTACGGTGAAAAGTAGGAGGCTTGCATTTTGGTCTGAAAATGTAGACATACCACAAAGACTTTCTGCTTTAGTTGCAATAAAAAACTTAAGTCCCTTTTGTCCTAAAGAAGTATGTGTTACTTTCATTTTGCCAGTCACAAAAATACCCCCCTAAAATGTCTTTTTTTTTTTTTTTTTTTGGGTTACTGCATAAAATATGTAAAAGTTTAAAACCCTTTAGGCATTTTGTCTGACTTTATGATCAAGAGAATAAAAACATTGCATTTTTGCAGATTATTCTGTTTTTTATTAGATTTTTATCAGTGATATTTCTCTGACCTGAGGGGAACAGCCTCATTTGGGATCTAATTGACTGGCCTTTCAATAAAACCACAAATTTTCCACATGTGTTTTTTTTGTCAAATTTAACCACCTGAAGGCTATGGATGATTCTTTTTCACTCATACTCGGTTGTCTACACAGCATAGCTATAACTATTCACAATTTTCAACATCTTATGTTTCTTTTTCTTTACACTCACTACTTTTTGTTTAATATATTATATTAAGAAGATGAAAATAAGAATTACAGTGCAACAAGTGAAGTTATGAAAGCCATTATCTATCAAGGTAACTGACAAGTGCAGCTTACAGTAAATTAAGACTTTCTCTGTACCTCTGTGATGCATGTCTCTATACTTTGACAGATTTGTTTGTATTTTTTTTTACCTTTTCTTTATTAACTGGTTATTAGAATTTAGGAAGGTTAACCATGACTCCCTTTTACCCTCTAATAGGATTTCTTTCTAGGATTATCATGCATTTGTCTCCATTCCCATCACCATTGGCCCCCTTTTTTATTTCCACAGCTTCATAATGCCCCCCCTTGATTCTTTTGATTTGGTGTGTTCGTTACTCCAGAGATGGTATTTAACATGTCGGCCTCATATGGACACAGCCAATGATGATTTGAGCAGAAGCGGCTCCCCCCTGACATCACATCCCTACGACAGAGTCTACTTAAGCAGCTGACTCCATTCAAGTTTGTCTTGCCTGTGGCTTTTGGGCCTCAAAAGGGGAGAGACGAGCCGGTTTTCAGTTGATGCTACATCGCAGCCACCAAAACCCATCCTGAGAAGAGTCTATTTGCTGGATGAGCCAGACTGCACCCTGACTACGATTCACAAGGAGATAAACATAGGCTATGTTCGAATTCATGGGCTGCATCCTCCAAGGACGAGGTCTACCTGGACTGGATCCTTTGAAGTCCTTGAAAATAAGAAGACTGGAAGAGTTTAAATTGTGAATTCAAACAGGTCTAGCCATCGGTGGCTTTCACCGTCTTAAGCTCTGTCGCTTAGCCACTGTGTCAGTTGACACAAAAAGCAGGAAAAGAATGAATACCGAACTGTTTCTCTTTCATTTTTTTTTTAATGTAAAGTGTACAAAGGCTTCACTCATGTGAATACAGAGGGGAATAAAGGTGACAACCACCAGGAGCATGAACAAATAAGAGAAATGTAATATTAGTCAGTTAAATAACATGCTGCTGTCATTTTGCACATCTCTAGTGTTGTTATTTTCAAATATCCATTACTTTAAAATGTCCATAGCTGTATATTGGTTATTTTATTCTCTCATATTGTTAAAACACTTCCAGTACAGTATTTTATTGTTTATATTTTAACTCCTCCCTATTATGTTATTCTTATACATTTTTCTAAGGTCCACATTTGTGACCATTTTCAATAATCTTTCTGCTGCTGTAAATTTGCCCATTGTGGGACAATAAAGAGATTTTCTGTTCTATTTTATTCTATTCTATTAAAGGGGTAGAAAGATGTAAGTAAATCCAAACAATGTATGTATAAAAAATATATCTGCAAAATCTCTAATATTCAACAATAAAAAATACTTAAAATTGTCCAAAACGGCAATAAAAAAATAAAAATCTTATCAGATTTATAGTTTCCACAATGAAGCTATATTAGAATCTGTCCTTAACTTAGAGCCAAACTCATTTACACAGTAACGGATAAAAACCTTTAGATAAATTAAACATTACCCGCCACATATCTTACTCAATAACCATTAAAACAATTTTCATTCATTTCAGACTGAAATATTCACATACTTCTATTAAACTGAACTTTCAATATCCACCACTGTTCGGCTCCAAGTACCATTTCCTCTGATCATAGAGCAGCCGGCTCGCTTGGTTTAGCGATGAATCCTGGGATATCCAAGGATAGGGAGGATACATCGGACCCGTCCTTCAAATCGGGCAAAAAGGAAGCATTTTAAGGCCACATCACGAGGAGTCTTGCAATCCGACTAGACCTCGGCGCCGCGCTATGACGTAATCGTCCTTCGAAACTGGCCTTCAGAGGACGCATCCCATAAATTCAAACAGGGCAATTGTGTCTTGATTTTTTTTTTCCCGTGTTCCAAACCAGATTGATGCTGTGTTTTGTAAACCTGTCTGCCGAAGCAAATGAGAGAAACTCCAGTTCTGGTCAACCCACGGAACAGCCAGTTCTAATTGCTGTTCACCGAAGAACCGCTTTAAGCCACCAGGCGAAACCACACTGGTTCTGAGCCGCTGCCTTGAACTGTGAACGCACTAGAGGGTTATCCATTGTTTTGGCTGCTGTTAGGAGCTGTGCTGCTGCCATCTCATTTTATGAGTCCTCCAATTTTTTTTTTTTTTTGGCTCTAGCTGGCCCATCCTGGTAACCTGACTCCGTTGAAGTAATTTTGGGAAGGGGCGAAAATACTGGTTAGCTGATTGGCCTATGTTGGTGATAGACGGGCCAAATAAACCAATCAGGTCAACGAAGCATATGACGTATTAACAGAGCGACGACGAAAACACAACCACAAGCAAAAACATCTTTTCCTCTGAGAAAAGCCTCCAGAGCAGTGTTTTGCTCTTCTTTCAGTGAAGAAATACTCTGTAATTCCGATAAAACTTGCTCGATAGCCACGCTAACGCTAGTTTCATCGGCTGAAGCCGCCATGTTCTTTAGACTGAACTGTCGCGCTTCTCGTTGCGTCACACCTCAACCCGCATCAAAGCCAACGCTGATTGGACGTTCGTTTGGTGAACGGCTCCAAATTTTCTGTAACGGAGAGTCTCCAGACTGATTAGCGAGTGAAACCTTGAAAGCTCGCGAGATCAGGATGGTCTCACGAGGCTACCATCCTGCAGCCTCAGTCATTGTAAATTTTTCACAGTTTTGATTGCATTTAATATCTCTGCGTCACAGTTTTTCACATTGATATTCTGCTATTTTAGAGACACTTTGAATGTATTAAGCCTTAAAACATGAACTTTCCTCAGATTCTTGAACGGACTCTTGGAAACACTTTAAGCTTTTTTTTAAACTTGTGCTTATTTACAGTAATGGGTACTATTTGCGTAGTTATTAGATACAACAATACTGTGTGATTATTAGCTTACAAATGTACAATTGTATTGTATTGGCCTTTTGTCGGACCCACCCTCTTCTTAACATTTGAATGAACAGAGAGAATTTCTTTGGTTGATGATTAATAACTGCTGATAACTATGGTCTCAATTACTAAATTGGTAAAGGCAACTGGATCTTAACAGCCAATCTAGGAGTTCAACCTCTGTATAAAAGTTTAAGAACTCTGGTGAAAAGGCAAATTAGAGTTATAATAATTTAACTAACAATCAATTGGTTTTACCCTTGATTTGAACAATCTATTAATATTCTATAACTCTCACTTCTAGTTATTTATTTAGAATCTTCTGGTGAAATTGCACAACACATTGACATAGCCAAACTCAGAGAGGTAAAAAAAAAAGCATTAATTATTTACTTGTACTCTGTGCAACAAAGACTAATGTATACACATTTATATTTGATGGGTTTTATAACGGGGGGCCTTATCCGTTTGCTCTGTTTGTGTAGCTTTATCTTTTGTAGTTCTTTTTTGGAGAGCTGTAAAACTAATTTGACTAGCATCATTTCTTTGCATCCATCACAAAAAGGTGTTGGTAAGACTGTCCGTATTCAGCGCAGCAGTGCGTAGCTTCTGTCCTACATGGGAAAGATTTCTTACTCTTGAACCCGTGAAGGGATATGACCCCAGAACAGGAGTTAAAAGCTGCTGTTTGTGGTGTTCTGATTAACCCAAAAACTCATAAGTGGAAAATGTTTTTTAAGTAAAAGTCCTGTTGCTTCTGATATAGGCCTATTTTGTGGCTGCCATAACCCAGGTTATTGGGATATGACAGACTGTGAAATGTATTTATTAATTAGGTGACATGTATAGGTAGTTGGTTCCACAGAATAGTGTATCGGCGCATTAAAGGAAGAGGGTGAATAAAAACAAAAATGTTTATTTGCAATTTTGCTCCTAAAACATGATTTTCGTCACCATTTAATTTCCATAAGATGCTTTTTATTTTAGTTGTAATTCGACAGAACATGAGGAATTCCAAGAGGCATGAACAGGTTTTTAGGGCCAATCTTTTCCTCAGTATACAGAGGATTATTCAGATTTAATAGATGTGTTAATAGTGTGTGGGTGTCCTGTTTGTCTTTCATAAACAGAAAACATTATGTTGCAAATGTTTTCTCATTCATTTATTTCCTCACTTCTGGCAGCTCCTAGCTAATTTGTTTACTTTTGGTTTTAGTTTGTGTTCATTATGTAGAAATACTAAAAGAAAAAAAATCCCATGCATAATATAACCTGTGTTTAACTTGGAGAGAGATGCTGTAGTTGTCCGTGCTTTATTGAGCTTGTTGGATTTTCAAGTTTTAAACTGACATCTTTTTCTTCCTCTTCCTCTATAATGTGATTGTAGGGAAAGCCAGTCGGGACTCCGGATCCTGGTGCGTTCTTCCGTGTCTTGTCTGAACATGGAGCTTCCTCTATGTTTACAGCACCCACGGCAATCCGGGCCATTCGGCAGCAGGACCCCAATGCTTCATTTGGCAGAAAATACCCTCTGACAAGGTAGACATCATTTCAGCATAATATGATCAACTAATGAAGACAGGTTTTATTTCATGATGCTGGAAATGAGAAGCTTTAATAGATTTTAACTGGCAATTTATGGCAGGCAGTTATTCCATTTATCTATTGGGTCTGTTTTTATTACATACTTTAGCTGTGATTAAAATAAAGTCTAGGTTTTAACATGTTGGAAATGCAAAAAGGTTTTGGTCTAAGTTTCTTAAATTTATTTTTTATATATATATCTTAGCAGACTTTGCTCTTGATTCTTAGCTCTGCCTTTAACCCTTAATCGTCACCTTTCTTTGTCCAATCTATAAAAAATGCTTATGTTCTTAAAGGTTCCTCTGGGGTGGTTAATGTTATATTTGACTCAGAATCTTCACTGTTCAGCTTTAGTGGGTTTTGATTTGTTTGTATGGCTGTAGCTTAGAACTCAATTTCCGTTCAGTTTAATTATAAGGCACCTGTTGACACCACATGCCATCTTAAAGCGCGTTACAAAGAAAAAAGAATCAAAAATTGTACAGAGAGACTGGTTGACAGTTTACTATTGAAGAAAACCCAGATGATTGTCTTTGCAATGGCTCGACAATGTAGCGACATACATTCACTTGCATTGTGTTGTTGACTTTGCAGGAATCCTTCATACTTAGCATTTATATGACAGATGAGAGAAAAAACTCTCTTTGAACAGAAAGAAACCAGCAGCAGAACCAGGTTCATTGTGAGAGGAAAGAGAAACAGACACCAAAGGGAAAATGGTAGCACGGATGTATAAATACTTCAGCAAGAGAAATAGATGAATGATGATGAAAAGGATCGGATCGCTCTCTCCAGATCAGGCCTGACCAAGATCATTCCTCGAGGCCCGCTATCCTGCAGGTTTTAGAGGCTTCCCTGCTTCAGCACAGCTAATTACTATTGATAGCTGATGAACAGGCGGTTGCTGAACTGCAATCACAATCAGCTGTGCTGAAGCTGAGAAACATTGAAAACATGTTGGACAGTGACCCTTGAGGACCAACTTTCAACATGCATGCTAGATCCTTGAAAGGGCAATAGCTTTTTGAACTTAGGACATAGCATGGAATCCATAATTGATTCAGTCCACTAATAAAATGGAATAGACCAAAAAAAGTAATATAATTATAATAAAGTCCAAAACTAAGCATTTATTTTCTGTATAGATGGCAACTGTGCCTCAAAGTTTGCATCCAAGGCTCCACCTCATGTGTTGCCCTCTACATCCCCACCTTGAAGCATAAAAGGTCCATGCAAAGCACCGCATGAAATCAATTGTGTATTTAAATGAGCAAGCTGATCAGTGTTATTATTTACCAATGGCAACCACAGCAAAGAGAACGAAAATGAAGTGTAGTTTAACAGAAATGTTTGTGTCACAGGTGCATAGTCGGATAAATATATTCGGTGCCCACAGTAAATGAAATTAAGCATTATTATTATTATTATTATTATTATTATTATTATTATTATTATTATTATTATTATTATTATTATTATTATTATTATTAATGGCACCTTTAGAGACAGAATAGGACCAGTGTTGTATAAAGTACTGAAATCTCGGAGTCAAGTAAAAGTATAAGTACCTCTCCAAAATATGACTTTGGTAAAAGTCCAAGTCACTGGCTGAAATGTTACTTGAGTAAAAGTCTTAAAGTATTTGAAATGGCTTGTACTTAAGTATAAGAATTACTGTAAAAATAGATGTACTCAAGTAATGTATTGAAAAGTATAAGTAAAAAGTAAGTGCAGTTTGAATGACATTTTTTTACATTTTGGTAAACTTTGAAGGTTAAATTCACTTAAAATAATATAAACAACCAAGTGTAGGATAAATTTAGACTGGCTTTGCAAAACAGGTGTATCCTATTGGTGTTGATGAACAAGCCCAGGCAAGACCCGACTTTGTAGTCAGTAGGTGGGGTCAAAACACTTGCGTTTCGATCGCTCGTTTTTTAGTAAAAGTGAAAGTTCTCAAAAAAAAAATTTCTATTGGAAAGTATAAAGTACTCCAAAATATACTTAGGTATAAAAGTGAAGTATTTTTTTTACTTCGTTACTATACAACACTGAATAGGACTGATCAGATTAACAAGGACATTAAGGCAACATTAACCCCATCTCTGACTGTAACACCTCAGTTTTGTGGATAAATGTACAGAATTATTACAGAACCGTTGATTATGTTAAACATTAAAGAAAGGTAGAAATGCACTTTGGCTTGAAGTCCCGACCCCAGTCACCATCTGTATCACCATTTCCCCGTCTTCATTTTATTCATACCAGTATGGATGTGTCAGAGTTTGGGCAGTGGACCGCACATTTTCACGCCACATTTTTTATAAATCACAACCTTTACATGGGAGTCAGCATTAAGAGTTTTTTGGCACCATTTTAATCCTTTGACAAGAGGCTTGCAATTACTGTCCAATTACTGACACTCTTGAGTTGTAGTTTGTTGCATTTTTCAATCTGTAGCACTGATCTACACTGCTATGAATCAATGTGAATCCATGGTGCAAGGAGTGAAACAGGTTTTTTTCCCCTTGTTTTAGGGATATTTGCAGATTGTCAGATTCCAGCTGCACATTTGTCTTAAAGCCTCTAAAGTCTGTGAGGTTTTTCACCATCTCTTTAATGTCTTTTACTTCTACCATCTACCCATCTCACCTGGGTATTACTCAGGATGGCTTGCAAACGGCTCAGCCCTGCCTCCTTGGTTAAATCTTTGACTCCCATCACGTAAATGGGTATCTGCTGTGCCTTTCAATGTGAGAAGATTAGAAGATAAACCCTTTCAGATAAATAACACATCACCTGGCACTGTGTTATATGCAGTTTGATCATAAGCTGGATCAATCGGCCATCTTTTCTTTGGGATGTTTGAAAAAAGAACCTTGCTGTTAAACAACTCACATACACCAAATGTATGTTGCATAGATACCAGTACTGTATATATTTAACCAGAAATTGCGTGCATTCATTCTTATTAAGATTCCCTAGTTTATAAATGCTAAATGTTTAAAGGGGCACAAACGTGGCAGAGGGCAAACCTACTTTGATTAATTTAGCCCCTTTTTTAACCACTTGAACTATAATTAGTTGAGTAGAGAGTGTTAAATCTTCATTCTAAGCATGGAAAATGGAGATTGCTTATTGTAAGTTATGTTTTTAATAGACTTCAACTCAGAATTTTTGATTGAACTTTTAAAAACATGTTTCACATACCTAAATATGCATTGTTAAACTTGGTCATATGAATCTATTTTAGCCAGTTTTTCTATTTCAATTGTGCGTTTCATTTTCGATTAGTTTGGCCCAGTGATTCAGATACAAGTTGAGATGATCACATTTTTTTAATGTTTGCTGTGGACTAGAAAACCTGGACCTGGGGGTTGGTTTGTCAGTTTATTACTTCACTCTGGTTGAGCAGTCTGAAAATACAATCATAAAGCAATTGGGAGTCTTTGCGACCTTTGGTCCCAGTGACTCATTCACTAAATGTAGAAGTGTGTTGAATCCTCTGCTAAAGACACTGAATGAACAGCACCTTATAAACTGGGGACTGGCAGACAGATTATCTCGTGCCGTCTTCCAGTTTTGACCCCATGTTAAGTCATTTAGGCTGTAGGTTTTAGTGTATTATGTTTATCAAAGTTTCATTTTCTTTGGCTTTGAACAAGACGTTTCACTATGCCATTGATGAAGCAGTAAAATGTGGACAATGGGACATGACTTTGCTGCCATGTGTTTCAGTACACCTTCCATTTTAAATGGCAGTGATTTACTTGAGTTTGCCAATTTTGCAAAAATGGAGACATTGTTGGTTTCAATTCTATGTCATCTCCCCAGTTGGCTAAAAGGTGGGGATTAGATAAAAACAAATATATTGCAGATCCCTCCTCTGAACAACTGTTACTTTAGAACATCACTACTACGGGGAAAAAAAATCAACAAGGGTTTACACACTAACGGGCCAAATAAAAAAGTCACCACCTGGATTTAACAAAGCAAATATGTACAAGTCTCCCATTGGATGATTATGGCATAGGTGATTATGGTTCAGCTGGCAGCAAGTTATTTCACCCCAACTGGTGCAATGGTTTGCTTCTCATTTATAAATAAAAAACAAACAAATCTAATGACACATTCGGTAGTCGTTGAAAAGATGTTGGTCTGTTTCAGAAGGGCCAAATAATTGGCATGCATCAAGCAGAAAAAATATCTGAGAAGATTCTACAATCTACAGAAATTGGGTAAAGGACTGACCAAAGCAGTATGAAAAAAGGAAAGGAAAACCACTTGTCAGTGAGGCGAACCAGAAAAGGGTTTTGGTAAAAATTAGCTGTGGAGCATTAAATTGGACTCTGGAACACTGGAAGTAGGTCATACAGTCTGAGTCCAGATTTACCCTCTTCTAGAGTGATGCGGACTCATGGCAGAAAGTGAGGCAAGTGAAGTACTGTTGCAGTATTTGTGTCTATTGCCTACTGTACAAACCTATTGGTGCAGTGCTGTGATCTGGGGTTGGTGCGGTTGGTCAGGTCTAGTTTCAGTAGGAGTAAATGCTCAGGAAATTAGATTAGTTGACTACCTGAATATACTGAATGACCAGTTTCTTCCTTTATGGCATCTGCATATCTTTCAAGATGACAATGATGGGCTAGAATTGTGAAGGAGTGGTTGTTGCAGCATGAGAGATAATTTTTCACACATGGATTGGCACAGACCTTAACCCCATTAAGATATTTTGGGATGTGCTGAAGAAGACTTTGCGCAGCAGTCAGACTCTACCTTCATCACTGTAAGATCTTGGTGAAAAATTTATAAAACAGTGGGTGGAAATAAATCTTGTGACAATGCAGAAGAATCTAATCAATGACAGAGCGAATGAGTGCTGCAATCAAGATAAAGGTGGTTCAGCAAAATCTTAGTCTGACCTTTTTGTTTAAGTGGCATCTTTTTTTCTGGCCAGGCAGTGGATCTGGATTGTTTTTGCACAGTCTGTATCATTCTTTTAAATTATCTGTCAGTGTTTTATTTGCTTATATAAACTTAATGCACTTTAGACACTTCTGAAAATCCGTTTGCATGCTTAATATTTTAAATATACCATCTTTTACTAATAACAGTTTGTTTGTCTTTATTTGCAAAGTTAGCTTTTCTTTTTGTTATGTTATTGAAAATTGCCTGTATTCACATGTTTCAATATGTTTCGCTTTGCTACTGGGGCACCTGAATTTCCCTACTGAGGGAAAATTTAGGATATTTCCCTTCTATTCTCGTAAGAATGACTTTTATCGTAGCTAAACCTATAAAGGATCTGCCTGTACTAAACGTTATGCTTCTAATAGAAACTGGGATAAAAGTTGTGAATCTATGGTAAAGGGCTTTTTAGATTTATTACCATGCACAGTTTACTGCTAGAGAGTTGAAAACCATAATTTGATGCTGCTCTCTTGTTCTTTCTCTCATTTATTGACGTGGTTCCAGGATTCCCTCTGAGCCCGTTTTGCTTTGTTGAGCCTTTTTAATATGATTCAGCTGCATCCCTTGTTAACATAGCAGAACTGCATAAAGATGTGGCACTAATTCAGTTACCCACAATTCATAGCATGAGAATACACGCCTTTAGCAGTTTTTGAAGAGACATTAATGATTCTTGGAGATCAGCTGTGTCTTTTTGCTCTAGACTTTGACCATGACTCAGCAATTCTGTAAAGGGGAATTCCCAGCAAGATTGGACGTTACAATTTAATGTTGTATAACTTTATCCATACCTGTTTTTTTTTTTTTTTCACAACAGGTATTCTTTCAGTTTTTATCATACTGAACCATAAATTTGGTTTATTTAATATTTTCTGTGATGGTTACAGTGTTAAAGGTATAGTGGAGAATCTTTGTGAATCTAATTTAAAAATATAAAAAAATTCACATTCACAACCCTGTACCCCCTCCCCAGAGGGAACGTCTATTACGTGCAAGAGCATGTACAAGCCCATTTCTCCTCGTGCACGCTCTGTTTAAAAGTTGCTGTTTGCATTGCCCATTCAAGCTTACTTTCCAAAAGATTCGCAGTTTTTCCACCATCTCATATTCGCCAATTCACTCGGTAAGTGAAAATGGGGACGAGCACGTAGGACGGCCTTAGGTAAAATTGTGACCAGAATGAGTTACAATTAGGAGGACCACTTATTTTGATGATCCACCCAGAAAAAGACCATCCTCCACTATACATTTAAGTAGTGGAAAGAAAACACTGCATGGTTTCCTTGTTCATTTTGGATAGATGTGTTCTGCCTGTGACAAAGTGGTGTAGTTTGTGTTTACCACTTGCCCCTTATTCTTTTTTCTGATTTGTAATGCTTAAATTTAAACATTAGTTTGCAACTTTGACTTTCACTTACTATCCCGGGTTGTTTGTGTTAGCATTATGTTTAGGTTAAAGCTATTACTTCAGGATTATTGGATGAAATTGTTTATTTTGTTTCAGATTATATTCATGGTTTTTGTTTTCCTTTTTACTCACCATTGTTTAGGTATTTCCTACTAAATTGACTAAATGATGTCATCCATTACTTTGCTGGGTTCTACCATTTAGAGGGTTTCCTTTGGAGTTATGCTTTGTTTGTTTTTCTTTAAAGTAACTTTTTGAGTTATCTTGTTTCACACTCTTTATTTTGCAGACTCTTTCTTTATGTAGATGAGTTTGTAATTTAGATTAAGTTTATTCTTGTTTCTCTGTTTAGACTTTGTTTTTCTTTTTACCTGTTTAATTGAGGCTTGGTCCACTCAAGTGCAGGTGTGTTGCGGCTTGATTATATAAGCCCTGAGTTCTTGGAAGCTGGAGGAAAATGTTTTGTCAGAGTGAAAAGGAATAAAAGACAACAGAGAAACTGGAACCGGTGGCTGAAGCTGTTTTTTTTTTTTTTTTGGTTCACCTTATTGACCCTTGACCAAACTACTTCACACTGCCCCTTTTATTCTATTAAAACACAGTAATATTATGAGAAGAATTTAAATCTATGGGGAAAACAGGTGTTTCTTTGTAACACAGATTTTATAGAAGGGAGTATTTTAACATGAATACTAGAGATACTTCTGTTATTTTTCAATGACATAAAACATAGTTGTCTTTGGCGGGAACACAATGCAACGATCTGCTCCTAGACAGCTAAGATATTGTAGTGTAGTGGTGTAGTAAAACATTTATTAAAATATGACGGAGGACGTGTCATAAAATCGAAGTCACAAAATAGTGACTAGTAGTACTAGTAGTACTCATGGATGGCATGCAGACGTGTCAAAAGTACCTGTGTTCTCTGCTTGAATAAGATAAACGTACAGATACCTATGTCATTGTTTATTAAAGCCTCTTGTAACTATCTATTGTACTTCTTTACGTTAAAAAGCAAGACTTCTAGACTAGGTTTAGGTGCACTTTAGTACAAATGTAAAATTAAGCTTTTGCTTTAAATAACAAAATACTTCTGAAAAATTATTCTCTTGAAAAAAGAAATAAAACAATAGGTTATTTTGTTCACTGTGATCTAAGAGGGAACATGAATGCTGGCTTGATCTTATTTTGTTTCTCAGACAGTTTGATAAGGATTTTGAACTGAACAGAAGTCAAGAAGCAATAAAGTTGCAAATAGCATTAAAATTGCAATAGAATTTGAAACATGTTCATCATTTGAATTTAAAGTAAAATTAAGGAGGATGGCCTATGGGAGTAATCTGGAGTGAATGGGGCACTAGTGGACGGGGATGAGGCCCAAAAGAACTTGAGGCCCGAGCATTCTTCACATCTACCAACGAAAAAAAAAAAAAGGATTTATTTTGGCAGGTGGATAAGTACAGTAATGTTTCAGCTACATTGCAAACGGCTTAACATGTGTGTAATACACTGGTTTAAATTTAGTTTTTGTAGTTTTAATGATGACAAATGTTCAAATCTGTCCATTTCATAACTGTTCCTTTAAAAGTTGTTACAGCAGATGAAATAGACTGAGGTAATTTTGCTCTGCTTTCTAAAGAGGGATGTAAGTAGCAGGTGGGATTGGTTGTAAATATGTTACTAAAAAGAAATGTTGCCTTTGAGTTGACCCACTGCCTTTAACAGTACATTCTCTTTATGCACAACTAAATCTCTTATAGTTATTTGCACAAAACAATAATTGCAGACACTACCTTTTTTATATCTTTTTCTGAATCTGTGGCTTTAGCTCAAATATGAGAGCTGGTATCATGCAACTTTTAGGTTTCCCTTGCCCTACATACCTGAATTTAATAGCTAGACTATCTCTATAGCACGCAGTCAAGATAAGCACAGCTCTGCTAATGAGTTCATATTAATGTCACGTGGGTTGAAGCAGAGATGCATCTAAAATTTGCAGGACACTGGTCCTCAAAGACTGGAGATTGAGACCACTGATCTAGATAATAGCCTTTGATTGTTTTGTGTTTTTTTAAGACAAAAACAGATTTGTCTCATTTAAAGGTCATTGCGGATGAGCTAATTGGTCATATGGTGGCCACTTGCACGGCTACAGTATGGTAGATGCTGTAGATTTTCTCCTACAGCCTTATATGGGCTAATAGGTTGTGTTTTTCCTTGGATATGAGCAGCCAGGCGCAGCCGTGTGAAGAGGTTCTTGCAGGGAGTGATGTAGGAGGAGAGGCTTCAGATAGCAACTGGTATTTCTGGGGCCATCAGTAGGACAAATAGGGAGGATATAATGAAATATTGGAGTTAAGATTTAAAGTAGAAGTTCAAACTTTGGAGAATAAGAAGCTGGCCCTGCAGAGCCAAGATTTTCATATCATTTTGGTATTTATTGGCCTTCATTTGGGATCACTTCAAAAGCAAGATTAGTGGGACATCAGGCATTAAAGCAAGATTAAAATTTCTATGTTTTAGGAAAACACAACCGATTTTTTTGTTTTCTGCTAAATGCTTAAAACCTGTAAACCTTTTGGCATTTGAGTTAACATCAGGAACACAAGGCATTAATTTTTAGGCATCACATCAAATATTCTTTCTTCTGAGACCTCGTGGAAAAAAAACAGCTCTACAAGATGAGGATTAGAGTCTAGGTTTTAGATTTTTGCTTCAATTGTTCAGGGATTATTTTCCTCATAATTTTAATAAAATAAATAATTCTTACTGTTTGTGTTTAGACACTTTCATCATACTTTGAGTGACTGAATGTGCCCATTTCTTCATAGGTTGCAATCGTTATTCTTGGCAGGAGAGCGATGTGATGTTGAGACGCTGGATTGGGCCAAGAAGAGCTTTGGGGTTCCAGTTTTGGATCACTGGTGGCAGACTGGTAAGGAGAAATTCATACCCATCATTCCTCAATTATGTAAGGAAACATAGGAAGAAAACATAGGAAAAATAGGAAGGAAAAGATATTAATGGACTGAAACTCAAATTAAGGGTTTTCTATGTTGGATACGTTTGTGTTCACATGTTCCTGGTAAAATCCTAATGGATTGATAAATATCTGAAGACAGGAAGAGAAAACACATCCTATAATGTTGACTGGTGTAATTCGATCAAGTTTTTATACTTAAATGTATATTAAGATTAAATGAAAGGGTGGTTAATGGATTTGATCTGGATTTCTGCCCCAAAATGAATTGCATGACCTAGATATTCACTTCTACACCTGCAGAAATGAAGAAAAAGAAAACACAGCAACAAAAGAATACATGGCAACAACAATGCTGACCAAAATGTTGATAAAAACTGTTCTAATTGGTAAAAGATGTTAGTCTCCACCTTCAGCTCTAAATGCAGTGTTTTTCTATACAAAGAACCAATTTATTTCCCAAACAGTCGACAGACCCCACTGTGCCCGCAAAGAACCTCACTGCTGCTATTATAACACCAGCCCAGGGGGTACCACCGACCGGCCCAGCGTCGGCTCCAGTCAACAAGTCCAAATGTCTCCAACTCCCTGAAATAGAAGGGAAGAAGACGCCCCCAACAACATAAACTTCACCCTCTTCATGGCACCCACAGCCTCGCGATACCCATACCTCCTTCTGAGGCTAACTGAAAGTGTAGAAGAACGTGCAGTGATTTAAAATATTATTAAATCTTACTGGTGGTGTAGATATATTATTTTTATAAAAATAGAATTATATATAAGACTCAGCAGAACCGACCAGCCGCCCTGCGTATGCATATGACACGCAACCACAACAGGAGCCCAGTACCAAGCCAATAGACGGACCCGCTGGGAGAAGAAGCATATTTTTCCTGTTTTTATTAAATGTCACACTAAGAGTGAGACTGCATCTTATAACAGTTTGCTCTGACATATCCCATGTATTTGTTCTGTGGAAGCAAAAAGTAAAGGTTTGCAGAAGCCTGGAATTATACATGATGGTCAGAAAATTAAAGCTTTGTGGGTTTTTTTTCTCTACGACATCTTTATTATTAAATATTGGATTTTCAAAGTGTTTTGTGAATGGATTTGTGAATGTAGGGAGCATACTAATGTTATATCCTCCCACCTCCCACAGTTTGATTGCTTTTATCCCTAAGTGCTGTAGACTTATGATAAATTTGTTAGAGCACAATTGGATATCTCTTTGGTGTGAAATGTCCTGATGGTGCAAATGGAGGATCGATGCAGGCCGAAATGACATATCTATGTTAAATATGGAATCAATGCTGCTGTTGAAAACCAGATGACCTTGAGCATTTGAACGTCTCATTTTCCTCAGATATGTGTGCAGATTAGCCCACTTAACAAATTAGTCTCTTAAGAAAAAAATTGGAGTTTGTATAGCTCTGTGTTTTGGAAATGTCATTTGTGACATCAATTGTTGAAGCTGGTCAGTGCATCATAGCAAAAACTTTGGACTTGCATCACTCTTTTGTTATCTGCCTTTAAAAGGCTAAATTTTTGATTGTGAGGTTTTAAAACTTTACTGTCAGACCGCAGAGTACAAAGGGAAGAACCTTTAAAGGGGTCAATTGTAGACCTAATTTAAAAAAGGATGCAGACAGGTGGAATTAAGTTGGTCTTCAACATCTGACACTTCTACAACAGCAGCAGAAGGTATTAGCTGTGGTATCATAACTGGAACATCAGTCAAAATGTTGGGAGAGCATCAAAAGATGAAGAGAATTTCTCCTTAATACATTTAGAGGGACGCATATAGTATAACTTTGACGGCTTTCAGTCTGGATTTTTGTGCGACATGCCTGTCGGTACCATGTGAGCATGCAGATCTGAGTACCCCAAAAGTAAGAGCCAGAGTTTTCATTATCAGTCTGTTTAGGTTTACATGGATGACAGTAGTTTTGGCCTCTGGTGTGATAAATGGAGGTTCAGACCGTGACCTTGTACCATCAGGAGACCGACAGAGTCCCTTCATCTGAAAAAAGCCAAAACATGATACGCAATATTTCTAAATTAATTGATACGTGTTCAAGAATGTTAAACTACTGTACCCTTAATGTTTCTTTAAAACATTTGGCAATGATCGTAGAAGGGGATTTTTATTAATGCTTTGGTTCAGAGTAGATCTATGAACTAGTAGGAACTAATATACATAATATATTCGATAATGCTATCATATACATATCAAGGTTCAATGTGTTTCAGTTGGAAACTCAGACTAAACTGGAACCTAAAAACACTTGATATTAAGTCTAAAATAAGATAATTGTTTAACAGGTTTAAAATTATTATTTGTAACTAAAAACATTAAATCAGTTGTTTTATTTTTCTTAGAAATTTACTGTTGCTTCAAATGCTAAACAATATAGTTCTGTTAGGTGTCTTATGAGAACAGAGTTTTAAGAGCACAATCACATATTTTGCACACTAATGAAGTAAGAAAACATCCATTGGACAATTTTAATACAGATCCAAATTCGCTGGGAGGTCAAGTACATTTAATGCAGCATTAGATGTTATTTTCAAAACATTTGATACCATTTCTGATGTAGTCTGTCTGATTTGACTGTTGCTGGAAGATTGGGAGTGCTAAGCAAAAACCAGGAGCTTTAAACCATAGAAGGTAGCTCTATGATAGTAAGAGATGAAACCATATATTGACATAGAATAAAAGCATATCTGGCTTCATGTCAACCTTGCCAAAACAGTTGGCAATGTGGCAATAAGAATAATTATCTTGATGCCAAAAAAGAGCCTTACAGATTTTGCTTTCACAAGTGGAGCAGTATGGCTATTGCCATAGTGTTGAGCTTGATTTATGCATATCAATAGCTTTATTATAATTTATGCAGGGAGTATTACAGATTATGGACTGGGCAATGTAAGTACAACAGGAAAGGAAAAAAAGACAAAAGATGATAGAAGAGATAAATAGGGAGATAATGATAAAACATCTTAAGTCTGCTTCATCACCTGCAAAGAGATGTAAAAAGAACAGTACAACCAACAGATATTGTACAGTGGAATCCGCTTATATTGACCAGTTACCGGTTAGTAACCAGTTGATTATTATATCCGAATTTACTGTTATTTCACTTGTTTTTTTATGCAAAATATCATCTAAATGCCATTTGTGTCGTTTTTCAATGAGAAAAATGAAAGGAAACAGATAGCTTCCACATTTACTGAATTTTATTACAGTACCATGCAAGTTTAACTACAGTATACTGCGCTGTGTGCAGACACAATATGGTCGCCTACGTAACTTATGTGCTGTGCGTCGGCTCTGCTGTGCCGCAGGTGCATTTTTTTAAACAAGTCTAAATTTTAAAACAAACGGTTTCATAGAACAACATTGAAGATAATGGCATAGGCTACAGAAAATTAAAGCTAGCCTATGTATGTCTATTTTGTGTTGCGGATCTGCTGCGCCGCATTAAGAAATCACTTCGCATATTTATCCCTGGATCAGAGTGTTGTCCAAAACAGAATTCAAAATGATGTAAAAGGTCAAAGTTTTTGAAACCAACATGCAGGAGACCAATCTTTAAAATGTAAACTGTACTGGTACCCGCGCCAAAGCGTTCTTGTACCTCCACGATGATACCGGAGTGCTGTCGTCACTTTCAATCCACTTAATTATTTTTGCAAGTTTATATTCATGGCTAAAGATGAACTCTAGAAGCGGATTTCTTGATTACTATAAACGAATTGTTTAAACAGCATTTGTATAGAAATTATTCCTTCCCAAGCCTTTTGAACACTATAAGCGGTTGATCACTATATCCATGACCATTATAAGCTGATTCCACTGTATAAGAGATGCAATAAAGTAACACTTTGATACTCGCTGAAGTATAAATAGTATTATTTATTTTGACATGTATACTTTGGTAGCTGAAGATCAGAAGGAATCTCTTAAGTACCTGGAACCAAGTTTGTTTTCTAATGCCATAATAACTTGTTTTAGTCCTGAATTAATTTAAACACCTTTATGTGAGTTTTTTTGTGCATTGGGTGTAATTTCTTTGTCCAGGTGACCTTTCAGCTCACTATAGTACAGGAATCGTCTCACAGTGGATACTGATACACTTCTACCAGCTTTAGCAAATGTCTTCAAAGTGTAGTTTTGCGTTTGTTCTTGTAGAGGGATAAAACAATACTTCATCTCAAAGACCCAGAACAAGTCCACTTCCTGAAATGTTTGATGGTTGGATATATCCATACTTGTTTCAACAGATCAGTGTGGCGCCTTCAGCCATCTGGAGTTTGTACCCGAGGGTAACCCAGACTTGCGGAGGTTTAAAATTCTCTTTGATATCCCAACTGTTTTTTTTTATGGTATCACAAAAAGAGGGAATATGTTTGAGGTGTTGCCTTAAACTACATCCCCATGTGTGCCTCAAATTTAATAACAAAGCCTGCAAAACCAATATATCTGGGCTTAATAGGAAAACTTGAAAGGATCAGTAATCCTAATACACAGAAACTTCTGAATTTAGAAAAAGTAGGAAAATAAATTTCAATTCTAAATAAGAAATATTTAATGTTTGGCTGACAGACAAAACGAAGTGCATCTTTTTTCATATAGCTATTATATGTAAATATTTGTTTTTGTTTGCATATTATAAAACTTTTTTATCACAGGTTCCAAACATGATTGGAAATATTCATATTTGAACAAATGAGGATGAATGAAAGCTGTTTTAAATGAGAAATTGATGCTATAGGTGATGGTAATTAACTGGTTTTGTTGCACATAAAAATTTTATGCTGGGTCTAGGGTCTTTCACCAAGGTCCCCATTGAAACCATGTCATGTCCTGCATAGTTTAATCATTTTTCTGCCACCAAACACTTGAGTTAAGAAAGTAGGTTATAAATGGACTTCTGTAGATGGAAGTAAAGGAA